AAAATATTTTCAGTGTATATCGACGAATACTCCAATGGCCGGTAAACAGCAGTGGCCTCGCGGTAACATCGAGTCGTGTTCGGCTACCCTCTTTTCTCTCTTGTACGGGGGTTGCGTGCGCGCACTGGAATAAGCGCAAGCGCGAGAAGGAACTGAAAGCACGCAGACGCGACTACCTTCGCCGAGAGAGGAGTCGGTACTTTTGAGGGTGAGTCCTACTCTGGTGGGGCTCCAAGGTAGCCGATCGTCTCTCTCCCGCTTTGGGTGGGGGAGGGACAGGGTGCGGAGACGGCACCGCCATCGAGAGACGCAGTGCCGTCGGGACGCTTGGCCGAGCGATACGCGTACCAATCGGTCGAACGCGAACGAGAAGAAACCTTGTCGTCGTCGTCGTCGTCGTCGTCGTCGTCGTCTTCGTCTTCGTCATAGTCGTCGTTCTCGTCGCCGTTCTTAAACTTTTTATACGCAACCTAGACGAGTTGACGCGTCGCGTTCGAGTAATCAATCCACCCAGAATGTACCAAAAATGTAGCAAAAAGTATTGGGAATTTCTTTCAAGAGATTCCTCCTGTGTTTGAGAAAGAATATCGGGACTGTTCAGTGCCACGATCATCGAACGAGAGGAGAGGACCTGCAGGACACATACAACATGTGGACCAGTGCCGGGGATATTGTCCTGTCACAGCAGTACGCCTTCATAAAGTTACTGGTGTGATGGGACATTGTCCTCGTCTCGTGGTCCATTCAACGCTACCGACGACCACGACCACGACCAATCCTTCAACATCAAGGATTCTTTTCAGGAACAATCATCGCCGCGATGGCTGACCTCTCTCTATTCCTATACCTCTTACATTTTCTTCTTCCGTGTTGATTACTTTTCTTCTTCTTCTTCTTGTTCTTCTTCTTCTTCTTATACTTCGTTGGAGCAATAAAACACGGCAGTGTGTCGTATTATCTTTGCTTGGTGCTTCGTGACAAACTTTGTTTGATCGAGCAGCCATTATGTTTTATCATATATGTACTACATAGATGGGTATAAAAGAAATGGCAATTTTTTAAATTGCCAACATTCGTGGCCCATCATCTTAGAGTCAAGGCTTCTTATTTTAGGAAGAAAGATGGCCACGAGGTGAACACGGAGGTGTCTACGAGCGATGTGGTGTTTCCGGTCGATAAGGCAGCTCCTCCTGGAAGGCGCGGCTTGTTCCTCGTTCCCTTTAATCTCATAATCGTCTCAGTATGACGACGTTCGATCGAAAACGATTCTTTACTTTTCCCAAGTTCTCTCGCGTCGCGAAATAGTCCTAGTGATCGAGAGAAGATATTTAGGACAAGATACAAGTTTCGTTTTCGCAGCATGCTATGCTTGCCATTGCCAAGATGGCCGGTGTTAAACGCGAAAACGATATCATAATTTCTCACCGAATTCTCCTTTTTTCCTCCCCTCGAGTTGGCTAACAAATAATATCCTATTATATACAATGATTCGAAACTTTGTTTCTCGTGAGAATGAACAAAATATAGAGTTTGAAGAATCCTCTAAGTAATTGCAGGTAATTCAAAGACTATAATTGGTAGTCTTGAATATCTTCCTTTGAACGTTCCATGACTGGACATGTAACATTTGCTTGCAAAAGAAAAATCTAATGTTTTAATAGAAGCAGATCCTAAATAATCGATTTTGTATCCAAGCGTAGTTTGGTATACCAAATTAGAGTGACTCCATAAAGAGGGGTGGCGGTAGTCTCGAACTGAAATCGATGGCAAATGTTAACATCAAGGTTGCTCGTAATTACAATCTTTTTCTTTTGCTTGCTCACGAGAATGAAATCTGATAAAAATGATGATACAGAATGAAGATGAAGGAAGAGGGCATTATTCTTCGCTCGTGAGATTTGTGAGAAGTGTCGAAGATAAAAGCCGGTGTTGGTGACGGAGACACAAGTTGTTAACCGTGATGACTGGTGATAGTGGGTGCTTTTTCAGTGGTGCTTCGAATGATATGGGGTGGAGCAGAGAAGTCGCGGGATTGGGGTGGATGGGAACGCGTTGTCGGCTCGCCCTCTCTCTGTACTTTACTTCAGGGCATGGACGCTAGGTGGCGAATCTTCCATCGATAAGAAAAGGGATGAAGGGAAGATGAGGGATTGAACACCGGCATGCTAGCAGGAGGAAACCTAACGCGCTGTTACTTTTTATTTATCTTCGAGGATGCCAAAAAAGAAAAGAAGAAGAAATGAACAAAAGTAATGGAAGATGTGGACCCAAGAACAAGAACAAGAACAAGAACAAGAACAAGAACAAGAACAAGCACGCACGCACGCACGCACGGAAACAAGTCAACACCAAAGAGAGAATGCTGGTCAAACTATCTCGTTGTGAAAAATGTATATTAAAAAAAGAGAAAGGTCCGCCATATTAATTCGCGTGAGAGACCTTAGACAGAGAACCCCATAGATGTTTGTAGATCGTAGAGTACATGCTGCCACATGCAGATGTCGTTGTTGTATAGGCGCATTAATATAGATTTTAGATAATACTTTGGTCAATTTTCTATTATTAACAATACACTTCTTCCATTCCAATAAATCGCGTCAATTTTTTAACTTTATTTCCTTTTCTTTTATTTTATTTTCTTTCAATCATGCAAGTCATCGTAGAAATTCATTTGGTCGGCTAAAGATTTTTCTCGACCGGTGAAAGAAGAAATAAAAGTCAAGAAAATTTTGTAACATCGTAACATAATAAACTCTCATAAAGTTGCCGACGAGTTTTTCCGACAGAGTGAAAAGCTCCCCTCCCCCCTTCGGATCGATATAATCTATGTATTTGCGGCGGCAGCAGTTTGCATGCGTTGCACGTCGCAGTGGCAGCTGTAATCAAGCTATGTTCACACGTACACGTTAACTGTATAAACGTTGATATAAGCACCATTACCTTATGTGTAATTAGATATGCACACGTAGTATTTAGATATTTATGATATTTATATATTCCGAGTGGAGCAGAGCTGCTCTCTCTCTCTCTCTCTCTCTCTCTCTCTCTCTGATTTGAGATACAACAAAATATTGCACATTAAAATATCTCTATGTATAATATGTATTATTTAAACAAGTCGTTGTGTGTGTGCGCGCGTAAGAAGAGAATACGCGATCGATAAAAAAAGAACAAAACTATTTCGATGCAACTTTAAAATCCAATAGAAACTGTATAAATTCTAGCGA